TTCAATTTTACAAGGCATGATATAAGCATTACATGCAAGCGTGTTTCATGTGAATAAGTCACCTGAAGATAGAATCCAATCAACTCCATTGACATCTAAGTTAAATTTTCAACCTTTCTTGCATAAAGTTGCAACTGATAACAAAATATCACATGCTCCAAGAACCCAATGGACATCCTTCACAACCACAAGAATGAGTTTCCTTATAGGGTCTAATATTGTGAGATGTATCTCTCTTAAGCGTCGTGATTTGTTAATGCCACCATCATAGCCTTGGAGTTGAATAGTTACATTTTCATCAAAATTGAAAAGCTTACTCTTGTTTACTTGGATGTGTATATCTGCAACACTATTAATGCACATATAATATTGTAATTGAGACAACAATGTGATTATTATTTTTGAATTAAATGATGTCTCTTGAACTAAAATAATAACAACAATGCCAACATTTATTACACCATTGATATTTGTATTAGGCCATTTTGCATTATCTTCCCAATGCTCTTTTTGTACACAAGCCCTATAAGTATTTCAAGACTTATTAATCTTAGTTTTTTTTTTTTTTTTTTTTTTATTGTAGATGGTACTTTTTTAAGACTTGCTTTCTTTATGTATGCACTACTAAAGCAAAAAATAGAAAATTAGTCTTCTCTTTCTTTTGCATCTCCTCCTTAAGGAGAATAGATCATACTACTTTTTTGTGATGTCTTTTCTTTTCCTCGATGCAATTGACTAAATATGTAGATCTCAAGATTTTGATAATGAAGTAAGTAAAAGAAATGCTATGCTTTATTTTTTCATTTCACCACCAACTTTAATATATTGATCCCTAAGATAAAAAATCTCTCTAAGAAAAATTTCCATAGATTCTCTATCCATATATCAAAGAATATACAATTTCTTCATTAAAAATATCTTAGTAATAACATTTGAGGGGTTGTGGATCTTAGCCAATATGTTCCACATTTCCTTTGCAATATTACATTTAGGTATATGAATTATTTTTAAAGATTTAACATTGAGTGCAATCAATGCTTGTGCTTTTGCTTCACTTGATTTTTATTTTAATTTTTCATTAGTATTCATAGGACATTTTAATGTCCCATCTACATACATGTAAAGCTTACAATACACATCAAGTATTTCATAACAAATGCCTATGTGCCATAGTTTTTTTTCATCTAATCAATCAATGCAATAATCTATTAAGGATGCCATTTTCAAATACAATTAATGCAATAGCAACAAATAACTATAAAAAAATAATTAATAAATAATCTAAAAAATGAAATATTTGAGGAGTAGAAGCACCAAGTTATATTGGAGCAAAAAGACTTGTCTTTACTACCAGCAACAAATGGGATTTAATTAAGTAAAAACAAGCATCGATAGAGTTTGAATTCCAACTCTAGTAGCTCCAATAGCTCTTTGGCTTTGATAACAACTCAGCAATAATAGAGCTCTAACAAGAAATTTCATTCAAATTAATATTCATCTATCGCATTGTTCATTTAGACTAATGTTCATCTGTAACTTTATTCATCAAGACTAATGTTCATCTATGGCACTGTTCATCTAGATTGATGTTCATTTGCAACTTTCTTCATTCAACTTTGATACTATGTTACAAAAATAGAATGAAAGCATGAAAGTAGAATGCATATTATTTGTTGCTAACAAAAGGTGGTAGAAGCCAAGAGAAGGGCACTTTTGGTGTCTTAATTAAGAGCTAGATAAGTTATAGCTTTTAAGATGTATAATATGGGATATTCAATAAATTTACACTATAGCAATAAGTCAGGAAGATGGAGACATTAAAGTATCATATAAAGAAGGGAATATTTATAATTCCTTATTTGTCAAAAAACTTCAAGGATTTGTGATATAATAGCATTAGACTTTTGAAGAAAGAAGCAAGTCTAGGCCAATTCCAAAAAGACTATGTAGTAACAATAATAAATTAGAATTATAAAGAAAAACAATGATGACAATATTGAAGGAAGATTTGAAGAGACATCAACATGAAGAGTAGCAGAAGAAGAGGCAGCAAGGCCTGAGTGTACAGCAAAATAGTTCAAATCAGGGAGCTTGTTGTAGTTTGACATAATGGTGGCAAATAGTGCATGGGCGACAAAATCTATTTGGAGGTTTTAGGAAGATTGTTGATGTAGGCGCTTGCGTTATTTGGATGGTAAGTCATTGTAATTGCCATAGACATAACAATTTTTGTATAGGAAGTCTATTTCATCACTCTTTGTTTTGTTAATATATATTTTTTTGATTTGATCTAAATAAATTGAAGATCTAAGGCAATAGGCATAGCCTTGAGTAGACAAATATAAAAAAAAGGTTGCAAATAATCACAAAATATGAGTGCTAACAAACTAAATATAAGCTTATATCTTCACAATCTATAGGATTACAGACTACCCATTGCACATTCAACACTATGTAAAAAAACCATTGAGAGTTGTTTGTAGTATGGAATTCAATTTAACAAGTACACTTATGCATCAAAATCTAAATAATTTTTATCAAGTCCAATTGAACCATCAAAGACTAATTAAAATTTATAAATTATTTGACAAATAATATTCTTACCTTGCAACTTATACCTAATGTATTTATTGAAGATTTATTCAAACTGGATCCTAACTAAATGTGAGTGATATGAACAATAGCACAATTGTTCCTAGTCAAGGTTCTTAATTGAAATCCTATAAATTTATAAAAAAGTATCCAATGGACTAAATCATGTTGTAGTAATATTAAGTACTAATGTTAATGTACTTTACATATATATAGCTAGTACAATCAAATATTTGTAGGTTGAGTATAATAGTCATTTTTTTTCAAAATCCTCTTTTTTTCAATATTCTAAAGTTAATCTTGTTATAAATTTAATGTGATGACTAGAGATGACAATTTGTGAATTTGGTATTACAACAATATTTTTAGGGTAGTGAATCATATAATTGCACAAGTTTGTAATTTTCCCAAAGTACATGACCAAATAAAGTAATGATGGTTTTCAAAATATTATTTAACAACTTGTTTTGTGAATATATTTGGATGTTGTAGTCTGATAATAACATGTCTCTTGTAGAAAAATGTGCTCAACTCTTAATACCTTAATGAAACTTTTTTTCAATAATTTATCTTATCTAACTATATCCAAATTTTTTTCTTCTTAATTCCATTGATTTATTCTAATATTTATCCTAATTACATTATGAGTTATAAAATTTTGCTCACAATCTTTTATGTTTTTTTTTTGACAAATATTGTATTTGAAAGAAGAGAGATAATATAATGGCAAATGCTAGGAAGAATACCTTTTAGATCTTTATAAGACCATACAAAGATATTACAATATTCCATTAAATGGGCTTTGTATTTCTTAAGTTCTTCTTTACCTAATTGGGATCCAAACTTGATATATTTGGATTCTTTTTTATTATGATTGATTGGAATTTTTATCCAATCTTATTCCACCACATGTATAAGGTCAGTAGGTCCATGGTATCAATCTTTAGATATTGGCAGGTAAGTGAGTATATCATGTCTAATTTCAATGCTCTTGAAGGCCTTTGAAATGAACTAATTATAGATACAATTAAAACTTGCTCTGGCAAAATCCATGAATCTAAGTAGAATGCAATACTTAATATAATTAGTTTCAAAATACTCTTCTAATATATAATAGTTTTCTTTCTATTGACATGCATAGAGCTATGAAGGGTCATACATTAAAATGAGATAGGCTTGAATCTGAAGACACTCCTTACAACAATGGTAGCAATATGAACTTAGAAGATGAAAATATGTTTATCAAGATGTTTCAATTTATACTAAGCTTCCTAGTGTCTAGACTTTTGCAATTATAGTACATAATCATTTGACCACAACCACAATGTATGTTGTAATAGTAGTTATAGCTACCATGAGTTCTTTGCTCATATCTTCAATGACCATGACCTTTATAGCTATACATATCAGGGTTGTTGCATCTACTTATATACATGACTTTTTTAACACTTGATCTTAATAACTATGACCTTGATGACTAGACATTTTAGAATTGTGAAATTTGGCCATATATATGGCTTCTTCAAGTACTTCTTCATAGTTGCCATTCTTCCAATATTTTTTAGTTTGCATACATTCAACCATTGTAATGTATGCAGGTTGAGAAGTCTTAGATACATATGCATCAAACTATAAGATAAAGGTTCAAAAGATTTTGGACAATTTTTATAGAATTATATCTATAACTTTCATGGAATCCATTTCAACATTGATATTAGTAAGCTTACTAGTCAAAACTTTAATCTATTTGAGATAGTTCTCCACAAAAGTTCTTTCAACTATTCTAATGTTTTGGAGTTGTTCAAGCATCAATTCTTCCTAAAGCAAGTAATCACTATAACATTGCTTAAAATGGATCTTGCACTTAATCAAATCTATATGAAAGGCTTCAACAATAGTCAAGAGCTTGTCACGTACTATAGCAGTGTTGATAGTAATGGCTTTGACCATCTTCTTCTTTCTCACATAGACAATCAACTATATAAGAGGTTTTTTTTCTTAAAAAGAAAGAATCATCAATCCCAAGATTGCAAAGAAGATCATAGAAATTAATTGTATTGTATTGGATCAAAATACTAGACCATGATTTGAATGATACAAACAAAACTTAAGAAGAAATAAGACAACTAGAAAACTTCACTTTGATATCATGAAGATTTATACAAACTAGACCCAAATTAACTATGAAATGAACAAGAGTACAAGAGCAAAAACTTAAAGGATAGTGGAGGTCCCTAGTTGAGATATTGAATCTATGGAAAAGTATTCAACAAACTAACTAATCTTGTAGTAATGCTAAATACTAATCTTAGCATACTCTGGACTTAGACAATTAATACTATTGAATGTTTGTAGAATGAAGATAACAATCAATTTTTCCAAGATTTATCTGTAAGGACCAAAACATAATCCCACAAGGTCTAGATGGAGGATTCCAAGCCATGCATGAGAAAAAAATGTAATCAATAAACCTAATTTTTTTAACTATTAAAAGTATGCTGGAGCAGATAGTTCAAAAGCAAGGAGTTCAATGACAAAGAATTAGTCAATCAAAGTCATTATCAGCAGTTCGGCATGACAGTTTTAAAAGGTTGATGACGCTTCTGGGGTGATTCCCAATGGAAATCGCACTTATCTCACCAAAGCAAATAGTTTCAGAAAACAGTGAGTATAAAACAGAAGTATGTCTTCGACTTCCGTATCCAAAACTGAGACTAGGAACTAAGCTCTTACGCATCCTCACTGTTCGATGCTACTTATGATGAGATCAACATCCTATTCTTATGTGCTCAACTATATTGAATTTCAAACAGTACTGAATCAAGTACAGTTGATCAAAGATTTTGGTGCATCTCTCAGTTTGTGCCTGTATAGTATGATGAGAGTGAACCACCATGAATAGAAGACACGGTTGGTATTCCCGAATGAGCTGATTGATTTCCAAAGGTAGTATACTGTCCATATTGAGAACTTGGATTGTAAGGTTGAGGTGACGATGAAAGACCTCCATACTGTGGATTTGTTACAAGGCTTCCGTATGTAGTTTGAGTACCGTATGCTAGAGGGGCATAACCTGAAAAGCTTAGTGTCTGAGGGGCAGAAGTAGCCAGTTGAGGCCGGGAATAATTTGAGATAGTTGGGTTGATAGAAGAATATCCCGTTTGTACTTGAGGCAAGGATTGTAATTGCACGGACGTTGCTTGTGGTTGTGTCCTCTCTCTTTGACCCTCTGCTGCAAGCTTCACAGTCACATGCCTTCCCTACATAGCCAAATGATAGATTATCATTAAGAAAGTCATTTCATAATGATGATTTGTTAAACAGTTAATCATTTGTACCGCTGGAATAGTTTTGTGACGAATCACTGAAAGCAATCTCCTTGTGAGCAAATGGTGTCTCAATTCACGGAAGAACTTAGTAAAAGACATGAGTTTATTTAACAAATGAATCTCTACCGTGAGATCTGAAGAGCCAACTATATGCCAATAGGACACTTACTTCAATAGATTTGTTGCTGTCCTCTATGGCCCTCTTAGCTCCTTCAATTGACTTGAAGGTGACAAACGCAAACCCCCTGTTATTGTAAGGGTCCATGTTGCAAAAGAGTGCATTAATGCGCCCAGTTAGTGAATCTCAATCTGACATGAACCGTTTTGCGAGAACTACAAAGAAACCATCAAGACTGATTCTATCAACGTTACGAATCCATGAACAGCTCTCAAACGAAGACTTTTTGGAACCCTGTTGACACTCCATCTGACAAAGACATAAAATGATCTCATCTAATCATCAAAGAGTTCTTTCCCTCTTAACTAACTGAGAACCTCTATGCTGAATGTCGGTCAAGAGAATGAATTGAATCCAACAAAGGATTAGAGGGACAGCAAATGACCTGGATTTGTTAGTGTTCTTGTCATAAGCAATGGCACCTTCCTCTATCTCTCCATATTGTGAAAATATATTAAGCAGAGTGTCACTTGTAGTGTCATATGAAAGACCACCAATATAGAGCTTTCTCTGTGCCTGATCCGTGGAGGATGTTCCACTTGTACTACCAGCGGACGCCAGATTGCATACTGTGATTCGACCCTGTACATAATGTACAAATATATGAAGGTTGATGCAGCTGCAAACTACCCAAATCTTACAAATAATTCGTTGATTACTATCATCAATTCGAAGTGGGGATAGGCTCTTGTACGATGGTTACCAACCTTAATGACTTTCCTTGAATGTCACTGGACCTATGAGAACCAGCTTAAATTCATTGCTCTCTATTCTTCCGAATTAGAACTCAACCATAAAATTGTGGATATATAGATACAATTAGAGCTTGCTGTTGTCCCAAACTTGCTTACCCAGCAGTCGTCACCCATCAATCACGTTGCGTCGGAAGACTTACATCGATATTCTTACTGGGTTCCTTCAAAGCACGATGTGCTGAATCCATGTGCTTGAAAGTTATAAACCCAAATCCTCGTGATTTTCCAGTTCCTTTATCCGTGATGACACAGGCCTCCTCAACCTCGCCATATTGTTCAAATGCCTGTTTGCAAAATGAAAAAAAGCCAAAATTAGGAAGAAAAACAAAACCAAACAAACAAAACCAAAATGAGTACAAGATACTGCTGTGACAAATGATCGATCTCCCTCGTCAATCACTTTAGATAACAATCATGTGAGTATATTTGCAGCAGGACAGGAAACCTGAAAATTGACTTGCGCAATGGGACAGCTGTCACATATTAAATCTGCAACCTAAACTCTACTGTTGATGGAGAAAATATCGAATGTCTGAAAATCATACAGACAAAATTCACTAACACTTCACTCATGCCAAGTCCATCAAGGATTTCTCATCAAGCAGATTTTCTTGATTACTGCAAGAGGAAAATCTCACTTGATGCTAGTTAACAACAACAGCGAGAAAAAACCTTGTTTAAAGTAAAGTCATTCAACGATACAGAAAAAAAAGGAAAAAAAATTGAAAAAACAAAACCGAGAGGGAGAAAGAAAGAAAGAAAGAAAGAAAGAAAGAAGGAGAAGAAGAAGGAAAGAAAAGAAAAGTATAAAAAAGAGGGCATAATTTGGCTCTTTAAAATTTCAAATAAGAGTGATTTGTTCTCCACTGCGTTGGACATTTAACACCCAAGAATAAAAGCTGAGCCATGCAATGAAATCTCTAAACACTGTAGAAGTATCCTAAATCGATAACACTCGGGTATTAGCTGAGTAAGTTGGTCGATCAAACAACTTAATTTGAGGACTAGCCACCAAGTCAAACACTTTGTACCTCAACTTGGGAAGGAACGCCACCCCAGCTCTCACAAATTCCAGGAAAAGCATCAAATAAATCAACACCAACAAGCATCATGAACACTCACTTCCCGCAGAGCCATTGAAGAGGTCTCCCAAGCCAGGCCACGCACAAACAGCTTCCGGTGAACCGGGTCCTTACTAGCAATGTCTCTAATATCATCTGCCACTGCAGGAAACAGAGACCCTCTGCATGCAACAAACATTCCAGCCAAACATGCAGTACCCGGCATCCCAGTCATTCAAAAGCTTTCAGTCCAAAATAAGAAAGAATTACAGTAAATTAAAATAACGCTGGAATACCAGGCCATAAAGAGAAGAACTGCATTTCCAAGTCATGCAATCCATGTAAACACAATGGATGCAATGTCAGTCAGAGCTATAAAACCCAGGAAATGACCCAGGAATGAGCTGACTTTCTCAGAATTTCATATTAAGCGCCAAGCAGCTGCTTCAGAGCTTAAGGCACGTTTTGGCAAATTAACTAACTCAAAAAGTGACACAATAATGACTACAGCAAGTGGTCAGCCGCATTGATGCTCAGTTACAGAAAACTCTTCACAGTTCTACATACATTATTGTCAGGGAGTATCCACTTAAGGCTGCCCTGAAGTTCAAATTGCAGTTTAGCGGTCGGAGTACTCAAATTCAGCAGGGAACAGTTGAGAACGTGGTCAGAAGAGTATAGGGTTTCCCTCGCCACAACAATAAATCAGGGTAGTCAAGATTCCTTTTGCAACTAAGTCGTAAGGATCAGTCGGTCAAGAACTTGAGAGTTGAACGCTCTCAGCGAGTACATAGATGTCACTATAATGGTAGGCCCTTAAATATATAAAACCAGAAATCTTTCTACGAGCTGCAAAAGCGTGTATATTTCACAGATGTAACCAAAATGTGATGACACACTGAATTCATTCTTGTGTACTCCACATACTGCAGGAAACATAATGAAAGCTAATCTCGGCAAGAAGCACATTTATCAGCATGTTCAAGCATGTTCAAATAGTTCGGGCAATGTGAGTTGCTTACGCTTCTATTAGTAGGGCAATAAGTTGATCTTTATTAAGCGGCTCCAAAAGGCTTTTTAACTCGTCTCTCGTCAGCTGCACAGTTGATGCTCCATTGCCACTCTCCGTAACCTTCCTCTTCTTGTTGTCCTCAAACCCCGAGTAATCGCTACCCTCATAATCTGAATATTCAGTCTTCTCAGGGTAGTCCACCTTTACATTAAGAGCGTAGTCCATATCGTAACCCCTCGACTTGGCAGCTGCTCACACCTACATAGGAAAAAAAACATACTATTTAATTATAACTTTTCTCGTCCCTTTTTCTTGAACACCTTGGAACTGCTTTTTCGCCTGATTCCTAAGCTTTCACTTCGTCCCACAGACCTCCAGCAATCAGAATACAGCATTTGAAAATACCGTTCTCAAAGCTCTACAATGTGATAAAGAACCAAACCCTTATATGACAAGCATCTAAACCATATAATATATACCTTAAGGCTATTGCTTCTTGGCATTATTGTTAAATGTAGTTTACTCTTTCTACGATTGACGACCCCATCTCCTGAGAGGTTAATCTATCAGTTCTCACATTCAGCACGTACTCATACCTTGTTCACCAAAAGCTTATAAAAGAGGTTGCTCGCGCTCTGGTGCCAACTTCAGAAGGTCGAACACTGTCCACAGACAAGAAAGTACATTCCGTTAAAATAGCACGTACGCATACCAACCATAAGCATTGAATACACTAAACCTCACCAACGGCTAGTATTTAATCAATACGTCGCTGCAATACCATACTGATGTCATGCACTCAATAATATTAACTACTAAACAATATCTTCGGTTATTTACATACGGCGATTGAAACTCTGCCGTGCCCGTAGAATCCATGAATATGAACAGGTCCTCTCAAAATTAACATCTCATTTCGCTATTGATCTCTCAAAACAAATCACTTCAAATTGATCTCCTTCTGTGTAAGAACTCAATCGCCTTCAAAATAATTCTCAAACTGAACAACGACAACCCTTATGAGTATCAATAAGCCCTGGTATACTTAATCACCGAACTTTAAGTTTAGAATATATTTTCTACCCAAAATTATATACCGAATACCACGCACTAGACATTGATACAATCAATGCATAGCGGCACCGCCAATGCAACAAGAAATTCCAATGTCGAACTCGTACCTATCGTAATCGGAATACATGTATCCCGCTAATTTTCACGCCTTCCAAGCTCCGGATTAAACCCTCTCGCAACACCTTCCAGGAGCAAGAACCCGGTAGCTTATCACCAATGAAAGCAAAAAAACACTCCACGCAATGAACGATAAACAGAAACCTCACGACGATGCAATCGAGAGAGTTCACAAACTTCCCAACGAATCCCGCTTCGATACGGGCGACGCAATTGAATGCTTCGCACCTTGCAGAATGCACAATAGAATTAATATTACTTTTATAGACCTACAAAGATTTCCTCGCAAGAAAACCTCTTCGACCTAATAGAACCGAAACTCCCGATCGATTTGAAGCAGCGACGCTTCGATTCGGGCCCGCAGGTAGGAAGCATCAAGGGGCTACTGACCAAGACACGAGGCGCTGGCTTCCAGGTCTCTAACCCAGATGCTCTGCATATAACATCTCAGTCATCCCCTCACAGTCGTTTTCAAGTGCAAACTCTTGGCACCGGGACACCTTTCAGAAGTGAGTTTTGGGGCTGAAAGCCATTTCTAGACATCCAATTTGTGCGCAGAAGACCTTCACATTCTCACTACGTCAGATGCACGGCGCAATGCCACGGTTAATTCGAAGAGATTGATCATAGGTAATGCGTTGGAACGGGGTTGGAGAGCAGGCTGCGGCGGATGAGTTAAGGAAATTGTAGCTTCAACAACCAGATTGACGTTAGAATCTGCTTCAAAGATTGGGAACTTGCGTTGAGAGCTTGTTAGGTTTGTGACCAGAGAGAATAGATGGTTTGCGTGTGGTGAAAGAGATGTCCCTGGTGGTGATCAAATCAATAATTTGATCGGAGAGTGGGTACTTTGAACTTCAATGTGGAGTGCTTCGCAGCCTGGAGATATTGCAGGGGCCATTTTGTTTGATAGATTCGCAGATGAGTCCACAGCTTCTGTAGCTACGTCGTGGATGCTTTTCGAAGGATTCAGCTTCTCTACAAATCTTCTGGGGAGCTGCATGGTGTGTAGCTTTCAAAGGAATGGATGCTAGGAGTAGGCCCTGAAATCTAGTGGCGCACAGAAACCACTCGGTGAAAGGGGCAAATTGACGCTAATGTACTGCTATGTCGCAACATTGTAACGGTCGCAGTACGATCTTACGGATGAAAACTACACGGCACAGACCTCTAACTTTTGAGAGCCTAAAGATTGACTCCGAGAAATTGTTTAGGCCGAACTACATGATGATCACAACGTGTGGCGTGTATGATAGCAGGGTCTTCTATCTGTGTTGTACTACTGTAGGTGGTTGCAATCTTTCAGAATCATTTCAGGTCTTAATCATAGGTCACCAAAGGCAGGAGTAGCGGCGGATTGAAGGAAACTGTCAGGGTTTACTATTCAATCTTAAGGGCCTCGTGAATCTTTGCAGCTCAAATAACGCAGGTTTGGTAAGTTTGAATTAATTACTGCGTCCACAGAGTTGATCAGAACATCATACAAAATAACTGAGTTACTGACATAAAACAGTGCATCACATGAAGAGGGAGAGAGAGAGAAGATTGTACTCAATAGTTAGCGATAAATGGGAATGACGCTAGGGTTTTGTACAGGCTCGTGAGTGCAGGTAAGAAATGCGTGACACATGACACATTGGTAATTGCCTGGTTAGCAAACCTTTTAAATGGCATCCTGTAGGGACCAGTTCCACTACATTGAACATGTAAATACAAACATAAGATCAAAATGACACATAAATCGGCTGCGGTTGGTGGTGTCAGCCTCCTTGGCTCTCATCATGCTCCTGGCAAGTGCTCCTGCCTTTGTCACTGTAGATCCTTCGACTACTTTCAGTGAAGATCTGTCAATTTCTTTGCAAATTTTGGGCACAAATTGTATCCCTTCTTCTTTGACCCTCTCCTCGAATTGACCTAAGTTTGGACCCCAAGATTGATGTTGTGATTGTTGCTTTCAGAGATCAACGTACTCGCTCCAGTCCAGCAGTTAACACAGCAACGCACACGCCGACAGGCAGCTGGAAGAAGTCGTAGGGAGCAGTACTATGGTTTTCTGTCAAGCTCAGACAGTGTGACCTCCGCCTACCTTCCTACGTATGTCCCCTGACATGAAGCTACTTCGGACATCATCACCTCAATTATCACCTGACAATTCCCACAAACTCCATGTTCTACGTTTACTTCGTCGTAGTGCTCAGTGATTGATTGACGCCTTTGCAGATTCAAGCAGATTTCAGGCGAGCCTGAGGGGTTAACACTTGCCGCGCTCAAACACCATGTAGGCCCCTTTCATGAAAGTTTAGAGGGTTATCGAAGCTCTTCTGTGTTGTAAAGTTGCCCAATCCCGCCAAAACAAAAGATTCCATCCATAAACAAAGTGTGGTATTACACGAAATTTCTGAAGGTTGCTCATGAGAGTTTTGCAAAATTAAAAGAAAATGGATACATTCGGTTTATTTTATTTTTAAAATTTTGAATGTTATGGATAATGAAAGATAACAGAAGATTACAATCGTATGAAAAAACCAAGAGCTTTATTTTTTGATCGCTACTATCAAAATCACCCACCTAAATTCCAAGGAAAATATTATGAATGAGAAATGCAATGTTGAAAGACTGATTGGTTGAATTTCATCATAGCTGTATGTATAGATTTGTTCACAAAGATTTCAACACGTGGCGAAATGCGCCCATGCTGCCCAATGTAAGGAAACAACTTGGTAGTTTATTAACATTATTTTGTGTGTGCCATCTCAGTTAATGTGCTCAAGTTTTTTCGAAGGAGGTCGGTGTGGATTCCTTGGGGTAAGTTCGGCTTGTATACATTTCCAAGTTGGGCTTGGGTTGTTGGAGCATTCGTAAGGAACTAGCGTTGGCCGTCACGTAGCGTGTCCATCAGTTAGCCAATGTTGTTCTTGCGGTGGTGCTAGTTCCTCTGCTTGCAAGCTCATTTGCTGCAGGTTTTTTGAGCCAGAGTCGCCATAGCTGATTGTATCTGTGAGTGGGTACTCTTTCAACTCGAAATGTAGCTCAGAGGCTGATGCTTAGACTGTTGCTCCATGATTTGTGTGGTCTGATGTTTAATTTGGCAACACTCCGTAATCTTCCCACGTCCTTGAGCTCCTCGTCTTCAAAGTAGGAACCATTGCTTTGAATTTGAGCTTCTGCGTTCCCTTGGTTTGTTGACTTTTGACATGAATGGTTTTGCAGGTACTTCTATCTGGATCTATTCGGTAGTGATTATTAAGATGCAGATATCTTTTGGTGAATGAGAAGAGCTTCTTGATCGGCAAACAGAGGTTTGATAGCTCCCCAGATGGGTAAAATTAGTTGCACGAAATTTCATGTCCTCGTCGCAGTTATTTTGGCAGCTATAAGTGTCTGCAGCGCAGACACTTGCTCGTCAAGCACGGTGGAAGCCTTGTTAGCATTCCGAAGCGCATTCAACGACCCTAGTGGCACGGTCTTTACCAACTGGGGGAATGGCGGCGATTGCTGCACTTGGAAGGGCATCACATGCCAAGACGGGAATTTGGTAACGCTTGACGTGGAGGGTCCTTCGTCAAACCAGTTGACGAAAAACGAGAGCTACTCAGGCAAGCCAGGCAACACTCTGTCGAAGCTTAAAGTCTTGCAGACGCTGACATTGAAGAATCTCCAGTTTAGCTCCAAAATCCCATCGCAATGGAGTTCTCTTTCGGACGACTTGACGATTCTTACAGTCAACAACTGTGACCTCCAAGACGACTTGCCTAACGGCATAGCCAGCAACAGCAATTTGCAAACGCTAGATCTCAAGGACAACAGCCTCACAGGTGACATACCCGACAAACTATGTAATCTCAAGGATCTGAAGTACTTAGACCTTTCCTACAACCATCTTGACACTGGCAACATTCCTGATTGCATCGCGAACGGTGGCTCCGTTACAAACGTGAATTATGGACATCAGAGCAACGACAGCGGAGATAGTAGTGGCGGTAGTGGCGGTAATGGTAGTAGCAGCAGTGGCAATGGTGGCAATGGTGGAAATGGTGGCAGTGCAGGCGAAGGATCTAATGAGGCGGGGCTGTTGGTCCAGTCCAAGGTCGTTACGCTTTTTCTATCTATTCTCTGTGTTGCGGTGTTTTGATGCTGAACTTGAGCAGCAACAATAACACTTCATTAGTAGTGTTAGAAACCCAGCTTTCACGCACTGCATGCATTCTATCCAATGTGATATTATGAAGCTCAATTGGGGTTAAGATGTTCCCTTTTGAAGTCGAGTCAGACTACCGCGCTCATGGCAGTCGAGGTGGAATCCAGCTCTACATTTGTTTTCTGTTGGAAGAAAGGATCAGGATTTTCCTGCAACGTAATGGCCCTCGAATGTTGCAAATGAGATTGGATACTCACTGTAAGATTCGGGGTTGGGGTGACTGCTCCACGATTTCGAGAAATCGCTACTGTGGGATGGGATGAAACGATTACCGAAATAAGAATTACCGGACTAGCAGCTAATTTAGCATGGACAATTTGCATCTCTGACAATCGTGGAAACGTTGCTCAAATTAAATTGAACTCAATGCTGCTCGATTGACGTGTGAGTATGACCGATCTTCACTTAGAGACTCGCAAGTTCTTAAGCATATCTAGGAAGTTTTCGATTTTTAAGGCATTCACCTATCAAATAGTTGCAACCTGTGCTCCCATAGTAAATAAACATTTTGGGGAAAATCAAACAATGTATCTGAGCTGAATCTGCACCTTGACAAAGGCTTCTCATGTACAAAAGCCCTAGAGACCACAACTTATTCCAAACCAACGCTGGACGTCCACCTTGTGAACGTCTGCCTCACTCAGCAAGGCAGATTAGGAGAAACTACCTTAACCCGGCGAGTCAGCAGGTTTGCGTCCCGAATACTGACATAAAATCTTGCAACGAGCAAGCAATGTCCAAAGTCTCAGCTCCAGTTTCCTCCTGTTCCTTTGAGAACTGCGGGATATCACCCTCATTCTCCAGTGCATTCGCGCCAGCAGATGCGACGTTGCCGACGATCACACCCGATTGAGGAGACCGCGCCTTCCCTCCCCTCATCTCGCTGCGAGTTTGGTCGATATTTTCGCGAGCTCTTTCTCCAGCTGCAGTGGATTCGTCTGTTGAACTTCCACCTGCATCCTTTCCTCCGATTCCGAGAACTGACTCGTTTTCTTGGCCTCGGAGTTCAACTTTGTTGGCACCGTCAAGGAGGGATTGCGAGGTGGCATTCCTTCCATTTGGGTCCTCTCTGGCCCCTTCTTCACTTAAGACTTCGGGATTCGAATTCTGGTGCTCAGAATACTCACGGTTGTCCTCGTTCATAGTAGGCTTATCGGATTTGGCTGCAAAAGAACATCACACAAACAACAAACCATACCTGAGACAAGAAATCTCATACAACGATTAACAACCAGGGTTAGGCAAAGAGCATTTACGGGTAATGTTTGAGGTGCAGAAATTAATCCCCAGGCTATGAATTGATATTTTTACCATTAATATCTGACTGTCTAAAAAGCTCTTCACTCGCATTATGGATAGATTCTTCAGTATTCTTCCCGTCTTTAACCCCAAACTTCAACTCTGTCGTTGTTTCCCCGATCGACTGCCTAGGCTCCACAGTGCCTGATTCCGCCTTGGCTTTCTCCAGAAATTGCTCCCTAGCGTCAGACTGAAGCCAGATCCCAACATCAACTTTCAGCGCATTTCAAACATGCTGGCATTCACATGTTTCTCACAGCCCGCAATGAATAATTTAGGTTCTGAACTCCTTAGGGCGTGAGCCGGCACTTGTGAGGAAAATAACAAACATACTCGAACATACTCAACACCATCTTTGCTACCAATATCTTGACACAGCATTTACAACAAGATGCTGAAACTTGAATGTAGCGATCACAATCATGTGACTAACAAGCTCCGTCTTCCAATTCCAACATCCTTCCACTCATTTCTGAACGATTAACAGGTCTCGAAGATAGCCTCTTAACTTTTTACCACTTTCCGACATCACACTCAAATGAAGTGTTAACAACAGAGCCCTTGCTCTATCTCGATGGAAAGTGAATAAAACGCCAACCATCAAGACAGTTGGCAACGCAACAAGAATGTATATGGAGTTGGCAGATAAGTTCAAACCTCGGCTTTTTCGGGTGATCCATCAGGTTTGGCCTGCGGATACCGCACGCCATGTTGTCCCGCTCGATTTCCTTCCTTCAAACTTCCAATGCCCATGAATCTGACAGAACCAAGAGACATGCTCACATTCGGCTTCACATGGAATGAGCAACTGTAGTCCCCGAACCGAACCGCAGGTGGAGCCCACCGTGCGTCACAATCCACAACCCCGGTGATTCCCCTTTGTGAAAGCAAATTGCTCACAGGCCTTGCCACAAGGCTGGACGTGTGACCCGTTTGCAGTGCACGCAAAAGCCTCAATCATGTAGCTGCTTGACCCTGCAAAGAAATGCCTTCGTCTTCATGGCTCCCGACTTTCTGTCCCGACAAAGGTCAGTTTCTGAAGGATCTCGGAACTCACTTAGCAAGCAGCTCCTACTGAATCCTTCAAGGTAACGTTACAATATCAAAACCGTCACGAGCAGCTTTGAAGGGGCCCTCGTGTCTGGAACTATTAAACCTCGTCAAAAACTTTCTCCCACAATGCCAAAAGCGTGTACCTCACCTCTGGTCCGTAAACCTTGAAACTCCAAAAAGAAAAAAACCTTAAATCTGATCTACCTCACTATGAAACCCGACCAGCGTCACATCCACAAAGCATTGCACCCCGCAACGCGATCTGCAAACGCCTGCAGCAAATCCACCCAGGGCCAAGCTTTGAACCACCACAACCCTAAACAACAACAGTAACAACGTCAGAAACAACCTGGTGCTAGAGCAAGACTGAAGAATTGTGAGTGAAGAGCAGCGATGCACGAGGCTCTCCAACACAGCAAGGCTGTTACCGAATGTGGCCATTACTGAAGCTTTTTTGCTTCTGCATTCCAGTGGACGAAGACGCCGCGAGCCAAGTGGCATGGCCTCCTCCTCACACCGCCGCGTGGCCTTAAGGCCACGTGTCGCCAGCTTACGTGGCATCAAGGGATCTGCTCTTCGTTGCCCCAACCTGTCCAGTATACCCCTCTCTTGTGATATGTGCATACATAAGTAGGGTTGATCAGTAGGTGTAAATATATTTAACATTTAATAGTGATTAGGAGGTATTCACAATTGTTTAAAAACGATGAGTTTTTTTTAATTAGAAACTAATTATTACTTTTATTCTAGCAATAAATTAGTAATTTGTGCTGTTGATTGTCACAACATGATTTAATTGATCTTCTCTTTACATCTGATTTTGTTTATAATAGTATTGAATTTTAGCAATAATGAGCACTCCCGAAGTGGATGCCCTCTCCATCTCTGGAGCCCCAAAAGGCTGCAGCTGAGGCGATGAAGGTCTTTTGGAGCAAAACAAAGTTGTGGGTTCCAACATGGAGAATAATGTGTTGTGGTCCTCACAATTAACCGGCTTGGTTTGTTACGGGCAACAAGTCTGTGATGAGGAAGGGATGAGTGTGCTCTTGCAAGTTAGAACCATTGCAGAAATCGGAGCGTGGTCGTTAGAGGTAGAGGACTTGCTGCATTGGGCAGCACCGAGATCTGGTAGTGTGGGCTTTACTCTTCAACCGAGCTTGTTAACGCAAGAAACTCGTGTGATTGAAATACATTTGAGTACGATGGCAAATCCCAGTCCAGCTGGATTACATTTTCGTTAGGAGGGTACTGAACGAGCGTGTATTCGATTGCAGGATTTAGAGTCTCGTCAGAGTTCATGTAGTATCAGGGAGGTTAGGGTTTGTAAAAGGAGTAGTTTATAGGTTGGTATGACTCGGATTGACAAGCTGGAACTGATTTAATCGAATGTGATTTCATCATCACATAATTCAAAGAAAAAATTAAGATGCTGACACTTAGTCAATTTCATATGAAGGCGTGAGTTATTATTTCACTGGATTGAATGGTTAGAAAGAGTTTGAGCTTTACAAGTAGGAGAAAATGCAGGCGCCCAACTTTGATTGCTAATTTGTCATATTGCTGTAATTATTCTGCTCTTCCAGTAGAAGATTGCAAAGATTCATCTACCTGGCACCATCCCAAAACATTTGTTTATGTGACATTAAGATCCTTCCTCATGAACATGCATCATCGTTAATCTTGTATACAAATATCAGTGTTTTACTGAATTGAATGCTGTGCAGTTCAACTTGGATCTAGAACCAAGGACGTAGTTGCCCTGAATGGATCGGTAGGTGGGCCTCGCTTCCAATATTTGTTAGTACAGTAAACTCTCTCTAAACTAATATCCTTGGGACGGGGTGGATAATTTTAGTTTATGGAGGTTATAAGTTTGCACAATATTGTATGGGGGTATCTGTGTATGGTGGGATCGGTGTCTGTGTATTAGCTTAGTGAGGATATTAGTCAAGGCAGTATTAGTTTAGAGAGATTTTACTGTAATCAATTTGCCAAAATGGTTTCTAGTGTATTTAATCACTTCATTATTTTCCGCTACAGGCATGCGGGGGCATTGTTCATACGTGTGCGGTTTGTAGCGGAGATCTGAAAGTTCTTCGCAACATGCAAGAGCATACAAATGGACATTAGAAGAATTGCGAAGGACTTTAGATCTGTTTTGGGGCTTCTCTCTGGTTCCCTTGCCGGTTCCCTCTTGGCAGAGTGAGGGAGACATCCATAGACTCTGTTTGCATCAACCTAAGCATCCCTCTCATTGCTTATCAGTCTGCAAAGGATGTTATCAGAATCTGTGGCAAAGGAAATGTCATTGTTCTGAAGTTGAAGGTTAACTTCGCTAGCACCAGATATGAAGCAACTTGTACGCGAGATTGAGTGGCACCATGTTCGTCCAAGTAGGTCCCTTCAAAGAGACACGTGCTTGATTCCACACATGAAGTGGTGAAGGATCCAACTTTTTTATTCAATACTATCAGTTCCTGAAAGATTTTGACTCAAACTTCTTGCTTTAATGATTTAAGAGTGACCTATGTTTGTAGTTTCACAATGTCAGTGCATCAGTTTTCATGCTTGTCTCCAAGGATGCCTGCATTCTAGCAGACTATTTTGATTGAGTTGCGTATAGTGCACAATCTCCCAGCGATCGTCGGTGGTTACCCAACTCACTTATCGTATTCTTACGTATGAAGTGTATGTGGTGCAAGATGTAAACCGATTCCTCTTGCTGATTGCTCTTGCTCTGTCAATTTCCGGCTTTGCTCTTGCGTTTTTGACCGGATCGTTTCCTCTCGAAAATCCACACAAAGATGCTGAGGAGATCAAGTAATTGATTCGTTTGACAAGTTCAGCACCCAATTCTCCAGATCATCTGGATAATCTGACGTTTATCTCGGACTAGAGAACATCGGATAATTTGATCAATAAATAGAATACTGACCCATTTTCCGGGTGCAAGGGGTGCTGCCAGTCTGTTTGCTCAGTGTGCAACTGCTGATGTGCTCAAGGGGATGTGAGCTCAAATGCTCGTCTATTTTCAGAACCATATTCCGTCCTTAATCCTATTCTCTCTATGATCCATGAAATAAATCAAAAATATATTTTCAAGTTTCATTAATGACATACCAATACATCAAACAAGTGTTATTTAAACCAAATAAACAAGATTCTTTTATGTTTTCTATTTAATGTTTTTTCAAATTTTCAATAAATGTTTTTTCATATTTCCAAAATTTTGAAATTTGTATTTGTTTGAAATTAGATGATACATTTTAAAATATGCATGTTTTAAAAATATATAAAAGATTTATTTTTAATTACATTTTTTTTTTTTATAATTCATCAAATTAAAACTTAGTCTAAATATCAAAGTATTTAGAAGATGAAAAAAGATAGTATAGTCTTAAGTGGATTTTTTAAGATTCTATTAGAGTATTAAGATTTATAAAGAAGAGACTAATCATTTTTAACTGGTATAACCTAAAATTCTATTAGTATAATTTTTAGTTTTATTTTGGAAATAAATATAAATTGATAGCATTGGATTATTTTTTAGCTTATTAGATGAAAGAGCAGTGATATTAAATGTATCTTTTATATGGAAATTACAATCCTCTATTTTTTAAAATATATATATTTATAATAAAAAATATTTTAATTATATTAAAATTTACTATTATTAGGATTTCGTATTACTAAAATCAGGTCAAATTTCAATTTTAACTACATTAAAAATATAATTTTAAATAAATAAATATATTTATTTATTTATTTATAGATTAAATTCATTAAGGTAAGATTAATCTAACACGGTATTTTAATATTATTTAAGAAATGCATTATGAAATATTTAGTTTATTATAGATAAAAATAAAAATGTTTTTATATACAAGCCAAATGATGTAAAAAGATGTATAAATATAAAAATAATCTAAAAGTAATTTTTAAAATATCAATAAATATAAAATATATTTATTTTTAAATTAATTAAATACTTCAGAATTACTTGTATTAATTATTATATTTTAAATGAATTTAAATTAGTTGGTTTTTGAGATAAGAAGTAGAAATTGAACTTATGATTGTTAGTTTGAAAGAATGATACGATTCCAACTTTAAAATATAAATTACAATATTTATAAAAGGTATTAGATAAGTTATAAAAATTAAATTATTGAGACTTATTTTTAGTATTATTTATTTATTTATTTATTTATTTTATGTTAATTAGATTTAAAGTAGAATTTTGCTAAAAACATAGTTTGGTAATTTTTTTTATAAATTTTATTAAAAATACTTTAACATATAGAAGTCCTAAAACTCTAGACATACATACATATTATTTGGAATAAATTACCGAAGAATGTAAGAATAATTTGGTTTCTATTTAGCTTTTTTATATATTAGATGAATAATATATAGTTGATGGAATAAAGAATTGGGACAACTATTACTAGTATCAACAAAAAGATTTAAGTAGAAATCAACAAATAGATTTTAAATAAGTACAAACTATAAAAAATTAGAAAATTCTAAGCATTCTATATAACATTCAAGTAAACTTTTAATTACCAAAATTAAATATTAGATCAAAAAAACTTTTTTTTTTGCATTTTTATTTTTCAAATAACGTAATCACTTGAAATATAATTTTAATCTAATAAAAAGAATTACTTATTACAAAAACCTTCAATTTTTCATAGTAACATGTATTTCAAATTGTCGCTAAGGTAATTTGAGCATATCTTTGTAATAATTTGTATTTAGTATTACATTTTGTCTTAAAAAACAACAAGATCTGTTGTATGTCTTTTTAAATTGTTTTTACCTTTCACCAAAAGAGAAAAATGCAATATTTAATAAATAAACAATAGTTATTATGAATTAATGTCAATTATATTTGTAAACTATAAAACCAATAATTCTAATTGATGTCATTTTTTTGATAAAGTTTGCTTAAATGTATCAACAAAATTTCTTGTTTTATATGTTTAAAATAATCTTTTAAATGAATTTGATATATTACATTTTTATAAAAAACTTCTCTACTATTAAAAAAAATTAATATATTTAAAAAAAATTAATTAAATTATGTATATTTCAATGACAACATGACTTTCTAATTCTATGAAATTTTATATACAACAAAAAATCTATCTTGTTTCAAGGTATTTTTGGTGGTATAAAATTTAAAAATTTATCAAAGAATTTGTTAAACTTTTTGGTGATTTGTCTAAACAAAAGACCCTATGTTATCAATCTTAAAGAGTTCTTTATTTTCTACATATTCTTAAACTACCATAATTATTTCTTTAAATAGAATATATCATTAAAGTAAAAATTTAAAACTTTTGATAAGTATATTTTGTAAAATTGAATTATATATATAACAAGGTTATTTTGTATCTTATACCAAATTCATTACAAGTAAAGAAATGAATCAATTTTTAAATTGTATTTATTAAAATTATTAACTCCTGATTGATTTTATCTTTGATTAATTTATTTTTTCAAAGTTTTAGAAGAAAGTTTTTTTAACTTACTAAAATTTGATATTTAGTTTTATTTATTTATAAGAAAATTTACTAAATAAATTTATCCACCAATTTAAAGATAATTTAAAGATAATTTATTTAAAGACAATTTATTATCTTTAAATTGGTGGATCAATAGAATACATTAAATATTAAAAAAAATATTTCAATGTATCAAATATTATTACCAAAACAATCAGACCACTTCTTTGACATTCGAAAAAAAAATTATATAATAATATAATATATTAATTTCCTTAATAAGCACTATTACTTTTTCAAAATCGGTTATCATTAGTGATTTTGTTCTCTTATCTTTTTATAATTCAAAATCTAGAAGCAAATGACTTATCAAAAAAAAAACCAAACCAAACCAAACCAAAAATAAATATTAAGATATAGCTATAAGAAGCTCAAGAAGAACAAAAAAAAACCAACGTAATCTTTTATAAAAAAGAAAAACTTGTATTTAAAGTTCATAATAAAATATAATTATTTCTTTCTGTAATGAAGATTAATTGACCTTATAAAAAGTTATATGATCAAAGACTTAGCCTATTTACTGTTTAAAAATAAATTATTTTAGTTGCATATTTTTTGTAATTACCAAAATTAATAAAAATCCATCTTCTATCATATGTATATCTTATTGAGCTTTATATTACAATCAACATACAGAGAGGAGAGCGATTGCTACAATCAATTATCAAAATATATAGCAATTATGAATTTTAAGTAAAAGAGGTCTTAAATAAAAACAAAGCTTAAAAAAATAATAATATCTTGGATACTAGCATAGACATAATTTTAATAAATATACAAAGGAGCTGTTGAAGAATCTCACCAGTATTTCAAAAACAATTCTTTATTGTTAACAGCATCCAAAAAAAAACGGTATAGAAAGCTATATATATATATATATATATATATATATAAATCTTAAAGATAAATTCTTAAACTAATCTGTAAGATAAAAAATCAACAATAAAAAATAATAAATAAATAATGTCTTAAGAATTTTTATGTACAAATGTTTTAAATGAAGTATATATGTTGTCTTAACCTTCTTTATATTATAATTGAAATTAAAATTCTTAAATAATAAATTTTTAGTTCCAAATAGAAGGCAAGATTTAATACATTTGATACCACAACTTTAATATGGAGCATATCCAAAATAATCTAAAAGAATCAAAGATTGTCCAATAATACTATTGTAAGCAGACATTACACATGATTGCATTGAACATGTGTTATTTAAATGTGGTTGCAATTTTTCTAATAATAATGAAATAACTAGGTAGTCTTATTGCCTTAATATAAAAACATATTAATAATTTAATAAGTTTATCAATTTTCTTAAATAAAAATAGAATTCAAAATTTATAACATTTATAGTTGTATAAATCTTAGACTCTATTAATTATAAAACAACTAAAGTAACTATTGTAGAACTTGATTCTAGAAGGAGGAATAATATCATGGGTGTTTTATATCACTTAAGATAATATAAATAAATTTAAATGCACAAAAAGATAATATATAGTTAATATCTTCTTTTAAAAGAATTAAAGAAGTTTCTTAAAGTCAAATTGATCTTTAGTTTATTTTAGATATGCCACATAGCTATTAAAAAAATTACAAGTTTTTTTAATTTTTGAAAAGTCATATTGGAAGCAAAGTGTAGGTTGAATATCTGGGCAACAAGCCTTGTGGTTCTTCAAGAGCTTCTCTAAGATCTGTTTTTAATAGCTAGTATATATAAAAATAAGACTAAGACTATTTCGAATTTTTTCAATGTCTTTTTTATTTTTTTTAGTCTTTACTTAAGACTTTGTAGTTTCTTATTATTTAATAATAATATTTTGATTCTTTTCATATTATATCTATTTCTTCTTTGCTTTTTTATTTTTATTTCCAATAACTTAAAAATTCATTATTTTTTAATGATTTTTTATATAAACAGATT